AATAGTTATAAAGATGCAAAAATGATTTCTTAAAATTTGCTCTTCGGGGGCTGGAGAGATGGCTAAAGAACTCTGGCTGCTCTTGCTGAGGACCCAGGTTCAGTTCCCAGCACCCACATGACAGCTAACGACTATCTGTAACTCCAGTTCCAGATGATCTGATGCTCTTTTCTGGCCTCTGTGGGCACTACACACATAGGTGTACTTAAGTACACGCAGGCAAAATACTCATATACATAAATAAATTAATTAATAAAACAGTTATAAACCTATCAAGAAATTAATACCTTGATGAAGTCAAAGTCTTCATGGATCCAATCACTTCCCTAAACCCCACCTATGAACACTGATACTTTTTTTCATGTGTATGAGTGTTTTGCCTTCATATATGTAAGTGTACAACATGTATGCAATGCCTTCCAAGGCCAGAAGAGAGAATCAGATCCCCTGGAACTGGAGTTTTGGATGATTGTTAGTTGCTATGTGGATGTTGGGAACTAAACCCTGGTTCTTTGCAAGAGCAGCCAGTGCTCTTAACTGCTGAGCCATCTCTCCAGCCCTCAGGTTTATTTTTTAAATTGATGTGTCTGTGTATATGTGCATGTGCACACATGTGGGTGCCCGTTGAGGACAGAAGAGGACATTAGACCCCCTGAAGCTGGAATTACAGGCTGCTGTAAGCCATCTGACATGGGTGCTGGGAACCGAACCTGGGTCCTCTGCAAGAGCAGCAAGTGCCCTTAACTTCTGAGCCGTCTCTCCAGTCCATACAGAAGGCTCTCTGAGAGAGCAGCTCCAGGCACACTCAGTCCCAGTGGCCCCATTAGTACCACACACCTCACCCAAGCCCACATTTCCAGATAACTATTATGTGTTGGCCCAACAGAAGCTGTATCTGCAGCCTCTTCCTGGTACATCCTACAAGTCTGCCCTCCTCTTCCTGTTACCAGGCCTGGGACACCTGCATGCCAGTTACCCTGGGTTGGCCATGCCTGGGTATACCTGCTGTTCTCGGCTAGGTTGAGGTGACGTTTGATGTCCATTAGGACTTCCTTGAGGAAGACCAACCGCTTCTCTTCAAACTGCTGGCACTGCTCAAACACCTGCTCCATGCCCTCCATGTACTGTGGTGTGGTCTTGCCCACATCTTCCAGCACTTTCTCATACTTTTCTTGCATCTGTGGGTACGAGGGTGGAGTGCAGGGTGAGCCCTTTGTTGGGCCTGCAGCTGCCAGGCACCACCAATCCAGGTACCCTCAGACCCACCACCATCTTGCCATCCCCACACCTTCTGCACATCCTGCCTGCACTTGTCCACTTTATCTAGGAGCTTCTTCTGTTGCTCCGGGGTGACCGACTGCTCAGTCTTGCTGTTCATCTCCCGGGTCATGGCCAGTTTCTCCTCTTTGCAGGCCAGATGGTAAGCCTTCTTGGCCGCCTCCAGCTGTGGAGAGAGGGTCGGGGGCAGACACACGTGGTTGCCCATCCCTGTCACCTGCTTGCCCACTCCGTAACTGAGTGTTGTGATATTGTTCTCCTAAGAGGCAGAGGACCTCTGGCCCTGGCTTGTGGCTTCAACCCATGACCTCATCTGTGGGTGCTGACCTACATGGTACTGCCCACTACTTTTGCAGACATGCCAGTCACGCTTGGGGCTCTGTGAAAGCAGTGTACCAGGTACAGTGCTGTTTTCCCCATGGGTCTCTACCACAGATCATGTGTGGTTAGATCTTTCCAGAGGTGATGCTGCTTCCTTGTGGGCACCCTCCCTGTCTATAGATGCCCTCTCTGGGACACACCACCCCTAAGCTGACCACCTGCCCCACCCATCTATGACACCTCCTTCATCTTCTTGGCCCAGGGCTTCTGGGCCTTGCGGAAGCCATCTTCTGCCTCCTTAGTCTCCTTGAAGCCACCCATGATCTGCTTGTGGTAGGCGTCCTTCTGCCAGTTCTTGACCTTCTCCAAGTCCTCGTTCAGCAGGCTGTTCTTGACCTCCTGATGCAGCTCGCTCACCTTATCGGCCTCTGTCATCATGGCACCCCAGGCCCGCTCCAGGCTGCCATACTGCGGGCCTGGGGAAAAGGCAGGGGGTTCATTCCCCCAAATACCCCCTGCCCAAAGCCCCGCCCCCATGCTTCCCCTTTCCTTCCCATGGCAACAGAAACACCCTTTTCCTCTCCCCCTATACTTCCATCAGTCCTTTTAAGGCCCAGGGCGGCCACCATCTCCAGGAAGCCTTCTCTGACTGCTCCACCATCAAACCAGCCTGCAGTCGTCCCCACATTCCTCCCGCAACACCTGCCTCGGTTCCTACTCCCTTGTCTCCCTTTTCACCATGGAACCCTCATGGGGCACCCTGCACCCCAGGAGCTTCTAAACACTCTCAGCACAGTTTCAGGCCCAGAGTAAATGTTTTTACATAAATTAGCTGAATATAAAACTCAAGAACCAGTGGTGACAGGTATCTTGGCCACTGGGAGCAGACCCAGCCTCTGCCCTCATGGGGTCTAGAAACGAGTGGAAGAAAAGACTGTGAGCAACAGGTAAGCCTCAGCTTCTAACATTTCCAGATTCTAGGCACCCAGAGCCATGGCAACGGGATACAATGTATGATTTTGGATCAGGCCCCAGACCACTGCCACAGTCAGATTTGTATATAGAGGTATGTGGTTCAGCTGGTAGAGCACTGGTCTAGTTTGTAGGAAGTCCTGGAGTAGATCTCTAACACCGTATAAATTGGGCCTGATGGCACAGGCCAGCAATCCCAGCACTTGGGAGGTAGAAACTGGTTATCCTGGGCTACATATTGATTTTGAGGCCAGACTGTCAAAAAATTAAAAAGTGTATATGGACCATATTAAATGTCCTCCATGTACCAGTTGAATGATGGTGACACGAACAATGGGGTGGGTGTGATGGATGCAAGTTTCTCTCAAATAGTTCAGAAAAATCTGCAAATCAATGGAGGAAAAACCTTGCCTGGCAGATCTCAACTTTGAGGTCTGTTGGGCTACATAGCAAGACCTTGTTTCAAAAATAAAAATGGGGCAGGAGAGATGGGTCAGTGGTTAAAAGCACTGACTGCTCTTGCAGAAGGGTTCTGTTCCCAGCACCTGCATGGCAGCTCACATCTGTAACTCCAGCTCCAGGGGATCCAACACCCTCTTCTGGTCTCCAAGGTCACCAGACATGCGCATGCTGCGCATACATACAAGCGGGCAAAACACTCTTACACACTAAATAGAAAACCTTCAAAAATAAAAAGAAGCTGGGTAAGGTGTGGTGTTGCACATCTTTAATCCTAGCATTCAGGAGGCAAAGGCTAGGCAGATCTCTGTGAGTTCCAGGTCAGCCAGAGGATACATAGAGGAATCTTGTCTCAAAAGAACAAAATGAAACAAAAACTACAATTTTTTTTTTAAAAAAGAAAAAGCTGGGCATGGTGGTGCACACCTGTAATCCATGCTCTGGGGGTGGGGGGAGGCAGGAGGATCCAGAGTTCAAGGTCATTTTCAGCTACATAGAGAACTGGAGGCCAGCCTGGACTACATGGGATCCTGCCTCAGAAGACCAAAAACCAAGTAATAAATCCTGGTTAAAATGGTAATGTTAGCTGGTGAAGCTTGGTCAAGAGTACCTAACAGTTGTTAGTGCTGAGTGTGACTTTTCTAGAAGCTTAAAAAGGCAATAATGTTTTTTGGCTTTTAGTCCAACCTAAAGTTGTACAAAGCAGAAGAATGGGGCTGACTGGTTTGGTCCAAGACATAAGCGGTCCTGAAAGGCCCTGTGACTGAGATGCTGGGTGCATCTAGGGAACAGGTTTGAATCCCGGGGTGTACACAGGGTAAGCCTGGGGTGGGGGCACCTTTCTCAATGAGCTGACGCCAGCGCTTGGCCCAGTCAGTGAGCTGCTGCGCATAGGCCTTCTCGATCTTGGCACGCTCTTGCACGCAGCTCATGAGGTCATTGCACAGGCGATGGCCGTCATCAATGCGTTTCACCGTCCTCTTGTAGTTCCCCACCTGCAGGTGGAGCAGCCAGTTAACTGCACAGCTCCTGTAATCCCGACTCTGGCCTGCAGGGGGCCTGCTGCCGCCGGCCTCATCCCAAGCAAGGCAGGTGCCCAGCATCCAACTGCAAACCCTGCAGCTTGCCCTCCAGCTTGCCAGGTCCCAGCACCCCACATCTCTAACTACCCTTCTACTCCAAACAACCCTCTGGCTGCTACAAAAAGCAGGATGGGTTTTGTACAATTTGGACTCGGGCTAGAATGAATTATTCATTTTGCACTTGTGAGCTAAATCTATTATATTTATATACAGTCAATAAGCTTGAGTTGAGTTGCTGTTTCTTGACACAATATTATGTTTTGTAGGCATCTCATTAAACACTTATTAATTTAGGTCTGCCAGTTTGCCTTTTGCATTTCTAGAGCTAATAGCCGATTTTTTTTTTTTTTTTTTAATCTCCAGGTCTCCAACAGTTTTGGAGGTGCCTGAAATTCAGGCTTGTAGTCTTACCTCTGCCCCTATGGAACTGTGGGGTCCCCAGACTCACCCCACCTTTATGGTTCAAAGTTCCATCCCTGATCACCAGGCAGAGGGTATAGTAGAAACATCAGGGAAAGGCTGTATAAACTGTTAAGTGTCAGTGGCTGTCAGCATAAAGTACTGGGAGTCTGAGCCAGGTCCTTAGAGAGTTGGGAGGGGTGGTCCCTGAGTGAGGAGTGTCATAGGCTCACTCGGGCAGGTGTGTGGGCAGAGGGGCTCCAGGCTCAGTGGTAGGTATCTCACCCCACTTAGAACCATAGCTGCCTGTTGGACACAGGGAGTTTGAGGGGGTTCCAAGAGGGTGAGGTGCAAAGCTAAGGTCGTGGGGCAGGTGGTGGGTGGGCAGGAGCCTAGGCCTCCACTCACCTCCCAGAAACTGTCTGTTGTCTCTTCTGGAGCCAGTGAGGCCTCATCGTAGGAGCCAGACATGATGTAGCACTAGAGAGTTGGGCAGTTAGGCTCAACTGCTCATGCACTGCAAGGGCAAGAGAGAGATCCACAGGGATGAATGAGGGATGTGCCCTATGCCCCATTCCAGGCCTGGGTCCTACTTACACAGGGAAGATGATGCTTCGTGATTAGCCTCATATTGGGATGGGTACTTCTTGTCTGGGGACTGGCTTGCCATCCCTAGTTAACCTGATTCAATCTGTAGCTCCCTGGTACCTATCTCAATTATCATCTCCACACTTGCTCCTTCTGCCTCCCCCAGATCCATCCCCAGTTCTCTCTAAGAAGCCATCCCTCACAGAAGCCTCCCCAACCTGCAAGCTCACACCACAGCTTAGTGAGCCTCAACTGGCTTCCTAGGTGGAGCCCCTTTCTCCTCACCCAACTGGATCCTGGCATTAGACCCAAAAGATCTCAACACACAGCTCCTGGTCTCAGCCCCCAGAGTGCCAGCTTCCTGCATCAGCTCCCCAGGGGCTAGCAGCGGGCCCCTCTCCCGTCTCCATCCCTGGCTAAGGGCTCCCCCACTCTTCCAGGTGGACCCTGTCCACCCTCTTTTCAACTGTCCCCACCCAGCCTCAACAGCCCCATTAGCAGCCTCCAAGTCTTCCCCTGGCATGTCTAGGGCATGTGGCTCCTTGGCCCTGGGGTCATACTGTGATCTGTGCACTATCCCAGGATGTGTCTGCCCTGGATCTGTCAGCAGGCATCACAGTTGTCCAATCTAGGCCCTGCTCTGCCCCAGAGCCCAGGGGGCAGGCCCCTCCCCCACCAGGCTTCACTACCACAGGGGCAAGACAGGCTCAATAGTCAGGACACAGAGGGCCATGGCTCCAGGGACGGTTTGTGCTGCAGCCTTGGGGACCGAACCCGGAGCAGTGAGATCTTGGTGGGGAGGTAGGGAGAAAGAGAAGGCTGGCCTGAAAGCCTCACCTCACTGGGGACAGGGCAGGTGACTCCGTCTCCTATGACCCCATCTCTTACCAACCACTGTCCCTCAGATTCAACTGGCACCAACACATGAGGCTCTTGGTCAAGGATGTCCCTCGCCCTTGATGCAGGGCCTGTTAACAACCCAGTATTGCTTTCTTGTGTCATGTAGCCTCTAAACCACAGTGGTCAGGAACTGAGTGACATGGCACAGAATGGCCCACTCCCTATAGGATCTCACAGGCCAAAGCTCTCCTCGCTGCAACACCACCTCTAAGAATTCACCTTTGAGACACAGGCCGAGCACACACCAACTCATTTACCGCAGCAGTGCTGTCCAGTGCAAAAGGCTGGAAATGACCCAAATCCATGTCCCTAGGGCACTGGCTAAGTAAATTACAGTGCCGGTCTGCAGCCGTGCTCTGTCCCTGTGCAGAACCCTCCCAAGCCACCTCATCAAAGCTATGTGTGCACCACAAAGATCAGCCTGCCTAGGAAAGTATATATAAAAAGGGACTATTTCTGGAAGACCGCAGAGCAAAATGGGAATGCTGGTCATTTTCAGGGAAGCCTGTGACTGGAGGCAGGTGGAACGGGTTTCTCAGGCTGGGTCTGCCTGACATGTTCCTGTTGCCTGTGAGAATGAACTGAATTTCTTTTAAACAGTGTCTATGATTTTTAAAATCGTGTGTGTGTGTGTGTGTGTGTATGTGTGTGTGTGTGTGTGTTTCTAGGTGTGTGCTGGGCAGTGCCATCCCCTGGACAGGTGGGCCTGGGCTGTATAAGAAAGCTAGCTGAGGGGCTGGAGAGATGACTCAGCAGTTCAGAGCACTGACTGCTCTTGCAGAGGACTGGGGTTCAGCTCCCAGCACCAACAAGGCAGCTAACAGCTGCCTATAACTCCAGTTCCAGGGAGCCAATACCCTCTTCTGGCCTCTTCAGGCATTGCACACATGGGTATGCTTCATACACAGGCAAAACACTCACACACATAAAAATTAAAAAAAAAAAAAAAAAGAATTAGATGAGGTGGTGAGGCCAGCCCACACAGACTCCAGGTCCTCTGCATCCCAGCCTCTCACTGGACTGTGCTTGGAAGAAAGGCATGGACGGTCAGAGAGAGGAAGCAGAAAGGGGGGCGTGAATGAGCCCCAGTGCCACATGGCCAGCTCCCCCCGACACACACACACTGAGGCAGGCGGAGGTTCCACTCCCAACAAATGCCATATTCTTCTTAATGACAGGGCTGAGGCTCCCAGGGGTCAGGAAGTGGACATGGCCAGTCTTCCCTGTGACACACCCAACAGACTTCTGGGCTTCCTCAGCCCACCAAGTGGGCACAAGGCTCATCCTGATTTTTCTCATGGGTGGTCACAAGGCCACCTGGCACTGAAGCCCTTTATCATCAGCAATAACAGGTAGTAATTACTGAGCCAGGTGGAAATGAGATGGCACCTGCTCAGAGACCATAAACAGCACGTCCAGGGGACATGGGAAAGAAAGCAAGGGGCAGCAGGACTACAGGACGGAGGACGGCACATTATAAGGTGACCAGATGCCCCATGTGCAAGCGTTGCTTCAGGCTGTGAGGGCCATGGTGACAGTCAGCAGGTATCAGGGCTGCTTGTCGCATGCACTATGTACAGCATTCACACTGGCTGACTCAGTTAACACTACAGCAGCAGACGGCAGGCTTGGCAGTGGAACACTGGCCTAGTAGGTGCAAGGCCCCAGAGTCCAAGTCAGATGTCCACTTGGCTGGACTGAGGGGACACACATAGCTAGCACAGCGCTCATGCTAGGCCTGTGTCCCCAGGTAGAGGTGATGATGGCTCTGGGAGAGAGTTGCTGGGGGCAGACACAGGAAACGTGGCTGCCCAGAGAGGGCACGGGTGCCTCCAGCCAGCAGAGGGCTCAGGTAGAACTGGAGGGCAGAGCTATGGGGAAACCACTGGTACCTCTCTTCTGCCCAGCAACATGAGAACATGCTTCCCTGGTCTCCTGATCCCAGGACTGGGATGTGCACCAATGCCCCCCACCACCCGCCAGGTTCTCAGGCCCTTGGACTGGGACACAGTGACACCATGTCCACATGGGTTTCCTGAGACTTGACCAAGTCATGTTTCTGCATCCCCAGTTCCCAGGTCAGGATGTAGTGTCCCAGGACTTTGCAACCTCTAAAGTAGTGTGAGCCAACAAATTGCCTCTCTTCCTTATCTACACTCTCCTTCTCACCACCCCCTTCCCTCTCTCCCTCTTTTCCTCCTTCCCTGCTGCTTTGGCTGCTGGTCCTGTGACTCCTGAGAACCCTAATTAGCACCCTTTTCAGGAAAAGGGTGCCTGGGTTTAGAATTCAGAGTCCTGAACCAAGTCCATCTGCTTTACTGAACCACTATTATTATTATTATCATTATTGATAGTCTCATGTAGCCCAGGCTGGCCTCAAACTCACTGCTTAGCGGAGGACAACCTTGAACTTTCTGATTTTTCTGCCCCCCGACAGTGCTGGGATTACAGGCCTGCATCATCACACCCAGTTCATGTGGTGCTGGAGATGGAACCCAGGGCTTCGTCTATGCTAGGCAAACTGAGTCACAGCCCCAAGCACTCTCATAAAAGTGATGTTGACATCAACCCTGGCTGTCACCAGCTGACATTTCCTGAGTATCCACTACGTGCTAGGCTGTCATCTAGGAGCTTGACATGTGTCTCATCTACATTTATAGATGGGGAAACTGAGGCATGGGGTAATTAAAGATGGCACATCCAGGGCCTCAGAGGTGGTGAATGGTGAAGCTGGGTTTAGTCCTGGCTATCACCACAGCTCCCTGTTGTTCCAGTCCTTTCTCCAGCCCCACCACCTGGGAGTCCTGTAGAGTTAAAGAAGCCAGATACAGGGATGAGGGTGAGAGGAAGGGAGGGGACCAGAGCTTGGCTGAGCAGTGTAACAGGCACTGTGGCAGACCCTCGCACCCAGCACCTCCTTCATTTTCCCAGCAATCCTCAAAGGGAAGGGCTGGCTGTCCCTTTAGTCATGAAGACACCAAGTCTTGGACAGGTAAGCCAAGTCACACAGCCAAAAAGTGTCCTGGTTAGGACCTGACCCTGGATGAGGGGGTAGAACAGTGTAGGACTACAACATAGACATTGGAACCAGACTGGTTTCAAACCCCAGTGGGTCACTTTCTCTTCCGGGCCTCAGTTTCTCCATCTATAAAATGGGCTGCTGCTCTAATTCACCAGAGTACTTATCTTAAGGAAGGCAGATCTTTGCTATTCATTTGCTGCCCCTGCTGGGGTTACTTGTTGACCCTGGTGATGGGGACGAGAAGATGGGCCCCTTTCAGGGGAAGCCCTCTCTATGTGTGTCCCCGAGGACAGCATATGGTGTGCAGAATTGGGGTATGGGGCTCTGGTTCTACCACCTGCTGCCAGGGAGATCCTAAGTCTCTTAATGGGGAAGGGAGATCTCTGTTTCCTAACTTGTGCAGTCAGGAAACAGCACCCAGGTACTCTGAGCACCTATTCTGTGCCAGCCTCCTGTTCACATATGTTTTTAGCCTCCAGGATCCATGGAGATGGATGGCGTCCCTCCAGGTCTCCAGACAAGCACCTGGGACTCAGGCAAAGCAGCAAGCTTCATAGGGAGGAGGATGCAGGCCGGCTGGGTCCTTCCCTTGCTCCTGATGCTCCTAGGTACCCAGTCCAGCACTGTAGTGTCCCTCAAGACCTCTGGCCTGAGGGCTTCTTCCCAGGGCTGCTCAGCCCACCCCTAGGCAAGGCCCAAACAGAGTTGCCTTCCTGGCCAGCACCTCAGATCCCACATGCACTCGTGGTGGCTCCCAGAGCCCTCCTCTGTTAGAGATGGACAGATTGCACAGGCCAGTGTTGGGGCTCCTAATACAGGCAGGATTGAGGTTAGCTGTGAGGTGCTGTCCCCCTCTTTCTTCTGGAGTACGTGAGCTTCCACGGCTCATGTCCCACCAAGTTTGCTGTCACCTCACCATCACTTGCTTCTCCCCTCAAACCCCACCTCCCTTTAAGGGCCAACTCAGCCTCACTTCCCCTGAAAAGCCTTTCCAAGTCCTCCATCTC